CGGTGATGTCCGGCATGGGCATCCGGTTCCCGGTGATGAGGTCTCGCTCGCGGAAGAACTTCCCCGGCTCCGGCGACCACTTGGGCGGCGGCCGGTGGTTCCCGGAGGAAGAGAGGGAGAGGTTGGCTGCCACCTTGGACACCTCCATCCTAGACATGTTCTGGTACTCCTTGAACTCGACGCCCTCGTTGGAGTAGGCCTTGAAGGTGGTGTTGTCGCCGGTGTAGCGCGTGAAGCCGATGCGGTGGTTGGGGTTGGCGCCCTGGCCGTACCCCTTGAACCCCACGCTCCCCGGGTTCACGGACTTGCCGTAGCTCTGGAAGTCGGCGGTGGCGCCATTGGCGTCGTTCGCGTAGGACGTGAAGCTGTCGTCGCCGACGTTGGCGTTGTCCCTGTAGCCCTTGAAGTCGTCGGCGCCGCCGTTGCTGCCGGAGGAGTAGCTCCGGAAGGTGTTCTGTGGGGTGTTCCCGTTGAGTCCGTAGGAGTCGAAGGTGTCCGTGGCGCTGTTCGCCTTGTCGCCGTAGTTGATGAAGGCGGACATGATCGAGTTGGTGTGGTTGCCGTAGGACTTGAAGGACTCGCCGACGCTGTTGGCCGTCTTGCCGTACCCGGTGAAGCTCTCCACGCCGGAGTTGGCGTCCTGCGTGTACGCCGAGAAATCGCGGGAGCGGCCGTTTCCGGCGACGTCGTAGTTGGCGAAGGTCACGGCGACCGTGTTGGTCTCGCCGTCGTACTCGGCGAACTCACCGGCGCCGCCGGTGGCACCGGCAGTGTAGGAGTTGAAGCTGGCGGTGCCGACGTTGCCCAGCGCCTGGTACGTCGCGAAGGAGTCGTTCCGGCCAAGCGAGCCCTTGCCGTACCGGTGGAAGGAGTCGACGGGGTTGACCTGGCCCCGCGAGTAGACCGCGAACGCGTCGGCGCCGCCGCCGCCGCTGTTGCCGTAGCTGCTGAAGTTGCCGTTGGCGTAGTTCTTGAACGGCGCGCTGGAGTTGGTGGCGGGCGAACCGGACGCGTCCCCGGCCTTGGACGGCCCCGAGCCCGACCAGATGGCGCCGGAGGTGGAGGGGCAGAGGATGGACGCGGCGGTGCAGAAGGCGGGGAGGCGCGAGCCGAGCTGGCCGGCGGCCGCCAGGTTGGAGAAGGCGACGGCGTCGGGCGCGGAGAGCGGGGAGAGCTTGGCGAAGAAGAAGGCCGGGTGGAGGCGGCTGCCGTGCACCTTCCGGTTCCAGTACCGGACGAAGGCGGCCTTGGCCGTGAACGGGTTGACGGGCAGCGACGACGACGGCGTCAGCCGTGGCGCCGGAGTGGACGGCAACATTGGCGCCGCTTTGTAGGAGGAAGGCGAGCTCCGTGGCAGGCCGTATGGCGGTGGCAGGAAACGCAGCGGCGGAGCAGCGGACGGGGAGAGTGCATCGGAGAGCAACGAAGACCGTGGGAGACCTCTTGGCGGGAAACGTGGCCGTGGATCATAGAGCTCCGAAGGCCGTGGATCATAGGCCGGAGAAGTGGAGGGAGAACCGACGGTGGACCGTGGAAGCCATCGTGGCGTCAATGTACGTGCCGCCGGAGAAGGGCATGGTGAGACGTCAATGTACGTCGGCGAAGAGCGTGGCAGGCGGGAGAGGAGGAGCAGGACGACGGTGACCAGGAAGAGGTGGGAGTGGCGAGGGAGCGCCATTGTTGGCTTGGAAGTTGGGGATGCATGCAGCAGAGAGACGTACGGGATTTATTGGATCAGGAGGAGCTGGATTAGGATTATTGTTGGAGTTTGGACTGGATGAATAATGCATGCGCAGAGCGTTGGAAAATTAGAAGCGATGTTGTTGTTCCTTGCTCGTCAGATTGACCGAACCTAATTCCTAACTGTCCGCTCGGGATCAACGGCGACCTGCACAGCGAGACCTTGTTCTTTTGAATGACTGGGGATCCAATCCGTCTTGTTCTAGTACTCTGGGTGCGGCAAAACAATAATACTACACCTACGAAACCAACCTACTAAGAGTTACGTAACCTGCCTAACAAATCTATCGTCCCCCCCCTGATTTTCACCCGTGTGGGCCCCTGCCACATCCATCCATCCAATCACAGTCCTACACATTGCCTATTACGTAAAATCTGTACGTAACTTTACCTAGGTGTAGCATTGCTCGCGGCAAAATTAGCATGAATGTACTACGTCTCCAACACAACTAGCAGAGACATTATTGATTCGTGCCGATTTATCTCATGAAATTTTACATATTTATATTCCGGTCTCGCTGCGTCATAGTCCAGATATAATCAAGGGAAGTTCCTAGAACTCATCTAGAATTTCTTTTAGGGGTAGAACCATAGTATGAAATCAGCCACAATTGCATGAATTTCGTCTGATTAGTTGAAACAGTGTTTAAAATTTATGCGGGCAACGTTGGATGGCCGGCTCCTGCATCCGTGTCTGTGGACTAGTCCCTTCTAGTACTTTGGGTGCGGCAAAATTAGCATGAATGTGCTACATTTCCAACAAAAGTAGCAGAGACATTATTGATTCATGCCGATTTATCTCATGAAGTTTTACATATTTATATTCTGGTCTCGCTGCGTCACAGTCCAAATATAATCAAGGGAAGTTCCTAGAACTCATCTAGAATTTCTTTTAGGGGTAGAACCATAGTATGAAATCAGCCACAATTGCATGAATTTCGTCTGATTAGTTGAAACAGTGTTTAAAATTTATGCGGGCAACGTTGGATGGCCGGCTCCCGCATCCGTGCCCGTGGACTAGTCCCTCCTATCCATGGATGGATGCGAACGCAAATTAGCGGATCAGAGAACTAGGCAGTTGCCTAGTAGCAAGGTTCGCAGTGGCGCACCATACCCCAGGGTCCGACTCCCGCCGGGAGCGGATTTCTGGCGCTGCATCCGGGTGGGATCCTTCTATAAAAACTAGATGATACCCGGTCAGTTGTTGCCAGAATGTTTTGCAAAATATTCAGTTAGAATTGGTTACATGACACATGATATTTAGAGTAATAATACGAGGACTAAAGGTGAAAATAAATACGATTTGTGGTGTTTGATTATATTGTATAATCTAAGTATATAATGGAATATAAATTCTCAGGCATGTTTGCATGCTGGGGTTGCTATTATTATGCATGATTGCATGTTGTGGCGGATCTTTCTTCATGCATGTTAAATGGTGAGGTGGCATACTTGCATGTTGAGAGAAATATGCTAGTGGGGGCTAGCTATTTAGATATAGAACACATGTCTCGATGCTAGTGCCCATGAATCTCATGTTTTTATTACTAGTCATATACTATGTCTTTTCCTAAATATAAGTATTTTTTAAATGTTCCAATATAAAATACATACAGAGCAAAAAAAAAATGAATACTCCTAAATATGTCTATATATCTTTTTTTTAGGCAACCTCGCAAAGCTTTATTACGTCGTCACAATGTTTACAGGGACGAAAGGAATTCCTTCGCGTTGGCCTAACCAAACATGGCGGCCAACACTCAGAGTACAAGCATGCTTTGCTAAGTTGTGAGCATCAAAGTTTGAGCTCCTAGATTGATAAACTACTTTACATGAAATAAAAGAAGAAATTTGCATCTCTATTTCCCTAACCACAGCGCCAAATGCCGCACTGCTTCTCCTGCCAAACTCACTTACCACACCCTTGCAATCTGTAGCCGCATGTACCCTTGATATGTGTAAGTCTGCTGCTAGATCAAGGCCCTCTCGTAGCGCCATAGCCTCCAAAGTAGCTGGGTCTTTCACATGCTTGAAAATGATAGCTGATGCACCTAGGAAGCCTCCCTCCTGGTCCCGGCATATTGCTGCTACGGCTCCAAACCGGCTTCTGCCACCCACCGCAGCATCGACA